CAATGAGAAGAGGTGAGTTTTAAGAGCAGTTTTAAAAGTTCCTAGGCTTGTGGAGAATCTGATGTGAGGAGGTAAACTGTTCCACAGTCTGGGTGCAGCCACAGCAAAAGCCCTCTCTTCTCTAGTCTTTAGTCTGTACCTGGGAACATCTAAAAGCATCAGGTCTGCTGACCTCAAAGATCTCCTGGGGCGGTAAATGCTAAGAAGCTCTGCCAGGTAAGGAGGTGCAGTACCGTTAAGAACCTTAAAAACCAGCAATAAAATTTTAAAATCAATCCTAAAAGCAACTGAGAGCCAGTGGAGAGAGCAGAGGACCGGAGTGATGTGGTCTCTCTTTTTGGAACCGGTCAGCATGCGAGCAGCAGCGTTCTGCATCAGTTGGAGGCGATGCAGACAGGAACGATCTAAACCAGCATAAAGGGAGTTACAGTAGTCCAGCCGTGATGTAATAAAAGCATGGACCACCCTTTCTAGATCGTTCCTGCACAGGTAGGACTTGACTTTAGTTAAAATCCGTAGATGATAAAAAGATCCCTTGACTACGGAGCTGATTTGTTTATCAAATTTAAAAGCACTGTCAAAAGTAACACCGAGGCTCTTAATGGAGGAAGTACATTCAGAAGTTAGGGGTCCCACAAAATCAAAGGAAAGGTTGGGGTCTTTAGGAAGCCCAAACACAATGACTTCAGTTTTACTTTCATTTAGATGTAGAAAGTTAAGAGCCATCCAAGTCTTAATGTCAGACAAACAGGAGAATAACGGCTGCAGAGAGTCCTTACAGTCTAACCTCAGAGGGAGGTAGATCTGAATGTCATCAGCAAAGGTGTGGAAGGACACATTATGTTTGCGCCAAACTTCATGTGGCCATTAGATTAGCTAAAGAACAGTGTGTAGAGAACTTGATATAGAGCACAATATAGAGAAGTTTAAACTTTGCTGGAGGGGGTGTGGGGTTGTTTTTCAGAAGTTGGGCTCAGCTCTTTACTTCCAGTGAAAGAAACTGAAAATATTTTGTGCAATTTCATGCTCCCAACTTTGTAGGAACAACTTGGGGATGGCTCCTTCCTGTTCTAGCATGGCTGTGCACGAGTGCACACAAGCAGGGTCCTTAAAGACATGGATGAGTGAGTTTGGTGTGGAAGAATCTGACTGGCCTGCACAGTCCTAAACTCAGCCCGAGAGAAAACCTTTGGGATGAATTAGAGCAGCGGCCCCAACCTTTTTTGCACCACGGACCGGTTTATGCCCGAGAATATTTTCACGGACCGGCCTTTAAGGTGTCACGGATAAATACAACAAAATAAAACTAGTACCGGTACAGAAAAAAAGAAGATTTATTCATAACACACGTGAAAAGACCCTTGAAAACCGAGTTAACGATAAAAACGATAACAAAGTAACGCTGAAAACCGATAAAAACCCTGAAAACCATACATTTCACACCTGAGCCTCAACTCTCGCGGCCCGGTACCAAACAACTCACGGACTGGTACCAGTCCGAGGCCCGGGGGTTGGGGACCGCTGAATTAGAGCATACACTTCAAGGCCGGCCTTCTCATCCATCATCAGTGCCTGACCTCACAAATGTCCTTCTGGAGGAATTGTCAAAAATTCCCATAAGCACACTCCTAAACCTTATGGAAAGCCTTCCAATGAGAGTTGAAGCTGTTGTAGCTGCAAAGGGTTGGCCGACACCATATCAAACCCTATGGAATAAGACTGGGATCTCAGTTATATGTGTGTGAAGGCAAAAGGGGAAATACTTCTGGTAATATAGTGTATAATAATGTTTCCCACATACTGCCTGGGCAGCTGAAAATGGTCAAAACTAAAATGTGCTCCTTCTACTCAGAGATGAAAGAATGAGTAATGCAGTGCCTCCATGAGACTCACATATATGGTTTTGTATGAAATGACTTATCAGCTAGTTCAGGGGTGTCAATATGCCAGATCTGATCCAGTTCAGTGCACCCTGCTGCATGACTTTGCAATATGTATAACCTGCAGATGAGGTGAGCGCTGTTTGTTGTGTCAGGAGGATCATTACAGGAGGTCAAGGTCAAGGTAACTTTATTTATACCCACAGGCAAGGTAAATCTGCTTTACAGAAAAAATGATAGCATTTAGCATCCCTTCAAAAACACACATACCTAATAAAGATATAAACCTCCCTGTAGCACATATATAGTAATTTAATATTTCGAATCAAAAACAGTTCTTATTTAATTCAGTGAGAGCAACGGGACAAAGCTATCTCGGAAATAGAAACCTCCGTCCTGAGGAAAGAAGCTGAAATTCACCCTTAGCGGATGGGAACTATTTTTAAGGAATGATAAAGCCATCCTCTGTACCTGCTTGGAGTACAGGGAGGCTAAACAAGACTGTGGCTCACCTATCAGATGACTGGACCATCTCACTAACTGATTTAGAGAGTTTTTCTCTGTGACAGAGGTCTGACCAAACCATGCCACCAAACAAAAGGATAAAACAGACTCAATAAAAGAACGATAAAACAAAGTTAAAATTTTTTGGTCAATGTGGAAATGAGCACGTTTCCTAAGGCAATAAAGGTGCTGGTGACGCTTTTTACAAACTGATTTGCAATTTTGATCAAAGTTCAGTTTTTCATTGATTATGGTCCCAAGATATTTATATGACTGCACTTGCTCTATTTTCTGACCTTTAATTAAAGTGACTCCATGCCCATTTTGTTGTTTCCTAAAATCAACAACCATATCTTTTGTTTTAGATATGTTCAGCTGGAGATAAGACTCCTCACACCACTGAACAAAGTCATCAATGACTGGACCGTGGTTAGTTTCACCCTCTTTCAGTAAGATGACAATAACAGAGTCATCTGCATATTTAATGATGGCCCTGTTTTCATATCTGCTCTGACACATGTTTGTATAGAGAATGAATAATAAGGGCGATAAGACACACCCTTGAGGAGAACTTGTGGAGGAGAACACTGGGTCAGACAGAATCCCATTTATTCTCACTCTTTGTGACCTGTCAGTTAAAAAAATCTAAAATCCAGCCCACCAGGTTTTTCCTGATTTCAAACTGTTCTAAAAGTCTTTTAATTAAAATATGGGGTTGTATTGTATTAAAAGCCGAAGAAAAATCGATGAAAAGAAGTTTTGCAAAAGTCCCTTTACTCTCTACATGTTTAAGAATCAGATTTAGTAAAGTCAAAAGAGTGTCCTCCACTCCTCTATTACAGGAGGCTTAGAATTAGAATTTGTGTCATGAAAATGGTTGTCTGAACTTTTAATTTCATCTGAGACAGAGATCTGATTCATCATTAGTTTCACAGACGTCTTACTTCCTTAATTTACCACAGTACAGTTTAATGACTGAATGTGGAGAAGCACACATATGGTTGAAATTGTAGACATAATCTTCTTGAGAAAAAATCCTCTCAGGATGACGTGTCATCATCTCAATAATCCTTATACTTTTCATATAGTACAACTATCAGGTCCAGTTTTTAACCTTGTTAATGTTAGTCTGCTTTGCAGGTCAGATGACTAAAGAGAGGCTGATAAGATTAGGTCACCCTCGCTGCGGGCAGAGAGGGTGACAGGCGAGGATGGCACTGAAGAGAAGATGCTCGGTTTCTGGAGTCTCCTGGTCCTGTCAGTATTAGTAGGATGCATCTGCTGTGTCTTCTCGTGGATGCTCACCTACCTTGACTCATTCCAGCCTGGTATGGATTTCCCAACACTGTGGACAGTGGCCCACGTCAGAGACGTTTAATATTGATTACATATGTCTGAATTGCTAACCCTAGCTCAACAGACCACAATGCCCTGGACTGTCAGTATAGTTACATGCTGTGAACATAAGTACCTTTGATCACAGTTTGTGTTGTAAAAGAGAAGGAATATTGAAAAAAAGATCAACATTGTGATATTATTTCTTCCAAACTGACCAGAAACATGCTTGTCAGACTCTCACAGCAAAGGATCAGACTCACTGTGCATGACGGCTCAGGCCAATGATGTCTGTTAAGATTGTCAGTTGTTTAGTGCTTCTGTACAGTTAGGGTCACGTCTCTATTTCAGAATAATTAATATGCGGAAAACACTAAAAGTTGATTGTCTTCCAATATTCTAGCATAATTAAAAAACTTTGACTTTTAAGTACATATTATTAGTCCTAATGCCAGTATGAGTCTTCATAACTCCTGCTTTGAAATACTGAACTTTGAAATTTACCTGATGAAAGATAGTTTACAGTGGCACTCTGTCAGGATCATTCTGACTATAAGATCACTGTATTAATCTGAATCCTTCTGAAATGTGCTGTGAATGAATGCTGATGCAACTCACTGTGGGAAAGCTGCTAATAAAATGAATCTGTGACACATGCAACACGTTCACAGAGGAAGAGGACTCAAAGGGAGGACACGCAGAGGCTGTGTTGAAGTCAGAAATCCAAATCTTTATTAAAAAAAAACAGGCGGCGGTTACAAACAGGAAGACAAGCAGTCCATCAAACAGTCTACAGGGTCAAACATTCAGAGAATTTAAACAGCAGTAAAAAATAACTGGACACTGAAAAACTTAAAGCAATGTGTGACGCAATAGAAGGAAGCAGTGTGTTACTGTGTTGTGTTGTTTGTTACGTTGTGATGTGTCATATCGTGTCGTGTTGTGTTATATGTAGTGCCGACGTAGGACAGTTTTTCCAATTTCATTGTACTACTGTACTATGTATGACTGTGCAATGACAATAAAGAGTTATCTTATCTTATCTTATATTCACTGAATTATCATCAATTACAAAAGAGAAAAATGACGATTTCTAAGGATTATTTTCTTAAATGCAATTAGAGTGTGGCTGGTAAAGATGGAAACATACAGAATGTAAACTGTGTGAGTTTGTGAACTTTGTTAGTAACAAATGAGGTAAAAAAAAACAACCCCAAAACATACAAAACACAGAAAGAGGCTCTCAGTATTCATTAATAATTAGAAAGAAAAATTCTGGTCGTGGATTTTTACAGTCTTAGTTCCGCTCGCTGTCATCATTATAATCATCATGATAAATGGCGAGGTCCTGAGGTGGGTGGGGCTGTCTCTGTGATGTCACCATGAAGGAACAGCATCTGGCACGTGTTGGTGAAACATCCCAGTACACTGGTGTAGTTTCCTCTCCAGCTGTTTGACATGTGACACTTGAATAGTGTTAGGTCAGGTGACCACATGGTTTCTAAAGTAACTGACAGGAAGTAACCAGGCCGTCAGAAATGGATGGCATGTGTGTAGAGTTACTGGAGTTGGGTAACTCTACTTACCAAAAGCAGAAGCACACAGATGAAGGATCAGATGCTGAATGTTGCAGGAACATGCTCATGTGTGGTGGTCATTCAGTGCTGCTCCGGCAGGTTAGACAGTCCAAGACTGATATGCTGCCCATCTGAGAGTTTGAAAACACACATGGAAAGATTTATTTTGTGTTACAGTCAAAGTTGGATGTTCATTTTTGTCCTTTAAAAATGTTTGTGTATTTGAAAGCACTAACATTTAAGGATGACTTGGATTGTCTCCTTTAAAGGGGAGACAAGTGTATCCACTGATCTACGTCACTTTACCTGGATGATGACTCTTCTCCCCCTCACTCAGAAACACTCCTAATATAACCAAGCAAATAAATAATATTGAAGATTTACTTACATCATTACAAAAACATCAAAAACATCTCCCTTTGATTCTATTTCTCCATTCCTGCTGAACATCAGGCAACAAATATCTCAATAAATCACAGTAAAATGTAAAGCACATGTTTTCTCTGCTTTGTCTAACCTCTGCAGAGCCTCTGTCAAGAAAAACATAACTGTAAGCATAAAACAAATATACATTCATAACACGTCACTGGACAAACCTCGGTCAGTTGATTTCCTCTGTGCAGTGCAGATGAGCATCAGTCAGCAAGTGACTCTGCTGGTTCTTCTGAGGAAACACCACCGTCTCTCCACACCGTCACCATCTGTGAGCACAAACTGCTGCTCTGCCAGCATGTAGGAATCACATATCACACACACAGGGGTGAAGAAACATCAGAGCTCAACTTTGGATACTTTAGATCTAAACAGATCAAAGTAGCTCTTAGTTTCAACAATCAGTGAGCAGACAAACAATGATACCAAACTGATTCTGTATGAATACAATATGGTATTTTCAATACAGGTGTCAAATTAATTTATTAAAACTAATACAGATATATGTATTTTTTTTTGATAAATTAGTTTGCTAAATTATAAGAATATATTTTTTTTTTCATTTAACAATTGCAACTAAAAGAAATTAAATATTGAACAAAAATATATTGTCACATTCTTTGCATGCTCAGCATGCTGAAAGACTTGAAGTTGCTACAGATTTTAAGAAGTGATAATTATAGGGAAGAAACTTCTCTTTTTCATCCGTTTAATCAAACATTTGATGCCTCAGCTGTCTCAGTCCTATAGCGTTCTGCAACTACAGGCTTGGATTTGGCTGCAGGTGCCCCTGTACATCCTTCTCAGCAGCACACATGTGGGTACCATTTAATCCCACTTCTTCCTGAGCTTTGCTTCATCACAAGACCAAAGGTGGCATCCCGTGTCACAGTCTTATCATCATCCAGAAGAAACATTTGAAGAAACATTTACGCGCCTCCTGGTTTTGTTTTCTGATCCTGCGAAAAGACTGAGGACAACAAAGCCCAGAGAACACAAGATACACAACATCCAACATTCAGACTCAACAGCCTCCATAAATGAAGAGCACCAGGTTGGTTCAGTTATAGTAGATATGAGCATACTTCACATTACTGGGTATGAATAATAATGAGGAGGCAAACTTTGACGATGCAGAGCATGATGTCCCATCATCAGACTGTAAACAAACATCCACCAGGCTTCTTTGTTGCCAAAATTGATGATTCTCCTATCAGAAAGCACAACAAATTTATAATTATGTAGATAATTACATGTAGATAATGTCCTCAAGTTCTGTATAACCACTTTTTCCTCTCTCTGTGTTTGTTTCTCGTTCGTTGTTGTGTGTGTTTGTGTGCATTTGTCTCTTTCAAACAGGTGCCGGTCCTCACCTCTGCAGTGCTGCCGTCTCCTGTAGCGCTGCATGGTTCTAAGCTAAGTTTCCTTTCCTTTTTCTGTTCTCTCAGATTTGTCCTCAGGTTTGAAGTGTCTGTGTTGTGCAGCTGGTCTGGTCTGTCTCTAGACAGTTCAGGCTTCACCCACTAGTTAAATGGTGGAGGCTCACAGCGACATACTCAACACACAAGTTTCTGAACTCTGCATGAGGGTTTCTCCGACGAAGTGAGGGCCGTGAGGCACAGCTCCCCGTCCCCCGGTGACCCTGCTAGGTCCACCTTCTTAGGGAAACCCTCTGCAGAGGAGCTGACAGAGCCAGGAACTTGTGAGTTGTGTGTGTCCACTCAGGCATCATTCATGCTTGTTCTGTAAGCAGTTCCTGTCAGAAGGAGGAGGCGCAGCAGGAGCGTCGGGGGGCAGTGCCTCTCTCCTTCTGACATTGTTAAAGAAAACACAACAAATTTATAATTATTTAGATATTTACATGTAGGTAATGTCCTCAAGTTCTGTATATATTTACATTTAAAGGATGATCATGGTGTTGATGATGGCGTTAAGCCAGAGGACAGTGTTTCAAATGTTGTTGGTAAATCTTCAGTCACTAAAAGCTCATCTAGTGGTAAAGTGAGCACAACTTCTTCTGCCAAAATCAAGGCAAAAGCAGAAAAGGCAGCATTACTCGCTTGTATGGCAGTCTTAAAAGAGAAGCATGCTTTGGAGGAGCAAGAGCTAAAGCTAAGGAGAACGTGAACAGCTTGAGCTTGAAGCGCTGCTTTCTGCCTCTTCTGCAAAGTTAGCTGTTCTCCAAGCTGCTGAAGTTCAAAGTATATCTAACATATCGTCCAATGCTATGAATTCATATTATGAAAGGGAAATCAAGAAAACAGCTGCTTCAGCCACAGTCAAGCCTAGTACACCAGTCAATGAAGATAAACCTGCAGTGCAAATAGTACAGACTGAAAGCAACATATCTGCAATGATCCTGCCAGGAACGGAAATTGAAGGTGAGCCACAAGCTGAAACGGTCATCACAATGCAATTCACAATGTGATCCTCCATCGCCCAGGTCAATTCCTACAGCGGCAGAAGGACGGTTGGAGGACATTTGTACCATTTTACAAAGACAAAATGAAATAACTGCAACCCTTGTTCAGCATCAGCGTGCATCGTCATTACCATCCAGGAAAATACCTGTATTCAATGGTGATCCTCTTCAGTATATCTTTTCATTAAGTGTTGAAAAGGATGGAAGAAAGGCAATAAGAGGACTGCTTGTATTATTTGGAGCGTTACAACAGACAGCCGAGAGACTGGTACCAGTTGTCAACATATGCGCAGGACAAGCTATACAAGCAAAGCAACTGCTCAAAGACACTTTGGAAATGATATAAAATTGCAACTGCTTATATTGACAAGGCGTTATTGGCTGCCAATTAAAAATAAGATGTGAAATCTTGCAACAATTCTCTTTTCTTACGTGGGAGTTGTAAGTCATGGAAACATTGCAAATATGCAGGAACTGGACATGCCAGTGAACATGAAAATCATTTTGTGCAATTGCCATATAAATGAGAGAGAAAGAGAGCGTTCGCATATGATATATTGGAACCTCTAAACACAGAGCTCAGTTTGAAGATTGGTTGCATTTATGAAACAGTAAAATTCTTCAGATCCTTTGTTGGGAATTCAGAATGTAACGTCAACAATCCCTGTCTCAAAGGTTGACAACAGACTGAAGTCACAACCAAGCAAACAAATTAAAGGGAACAGCTTTGCTGCTACAGCCACACCCATGATCATGAAAAAAACCTACAGTACGGAAAGGCTGATTACTACAACAAGCCATGACTTTACAGTAAAGCCATCTTGTGTCTGCTGTACTCAATGACACACACTGGAGAGTGTCAACAGTTCAGCGGAAGAAGCCAGAGACAAAATGCTTTTCTAAAGGAGAAAGGGCTGTTTGGTTGCTTAGGTGCTGGGCACATAAGCAAGGACTGTGCTAAGCGTTTGATATGTAGAACGTGTGGTAAAGGTCATCCCACTGTCCTCCATATTGATAACAATGGTGTAAGCCCTGAATGCTATGGCGAGCCATCCTCTTCAAAGAATGTAAAAACTTGTGGTCATACAGGGGCCGGAAGAGAAAGCGGTTTGCTTTCCATTCTGCCAGTTCAAATAAAGTCTGTTAAAGGTAGTCATGTCATACAGACATATGCTTTTTTAGATCCTGGCAGTTCAGCTAGCTTCTGTTCAGAGCACCTCATGCAAAAGCTAAATCTTGTGGGCAAAAGAACTCACTTCCTGTTACAAACGATGGGTCAAGAAAAGGTCGTCTCTGCCCACTCACTTACTGGTCTTGAAGTTTCTGGTTTAGGCAGCAATGCCTTCTATGAACTTCCAGAAATCCTAACACAGGAAAGGATGCCTGTCACCATGGATAACTTTGTAAAGGAAGAAGATCTGATCAGGTGGCCATATCTGTCAAAGGTTCAAATTCCCCACATAATGGCTAATGTGGACCTGCTGATTGGATGCAACGCTCCCAAGTTATTGGAACCATGGGGTCATATACCAGGGAAGCCATAGCTATAAGACAGCATTGGCTGGGTCATAAATGGGCCATGGAAGATGTAAAAGCAACTGGACAGCGACACCACACATTGTAAATAGGATATTGTCAGGAGATCTGAAAGTCAATTAACTATGACTTTAAAAGGGTTACAAGAAAGGTTGTAAGGGAGGACCTTAAGTTCATGAAGATCATGAAAAATCTCAACAATGGAAACGGACACACTGTTTGAGTTACTTTAAAAAGATAACATAAGATGCAAAATTTTCCATAGTTAAACAAAGATTGCAAGTCTACAACGAAACTTCTCAAATGAACAGTGCATAAAGAATTAAAATATGGACGAGATATAAGATGGATATGCAGAGCAAATACTTCACAGCACTGCTTGCGAAAATGGAAGAAGTGGTACATTCTCATCACGCAGTTTACCATCCAGAAACGATCCATAAGAATTGTATTGACTGTGGGCATCATTCCAGGGGACATCATAAACAAGCAGCTCTCAAGGTCCTAATCTCACAAGCACATTGCTTGGGGTTTGCTTAGATTTCGACAGGATCCAGTGCATTATGGGTACATAAAGGCAAGTTTTATCAAGTTAAAGTGCCAAGAAGACAGAGACTTCTGCTTTTTATGGGCCAGATGGAGATCTGAGCAAGGACATAATTGAGTTTCGCATGTGTCACTGTTCGGCAGTATCTTCCCTAGCTGCCAGTTTCGCTTTGAGAAAAACAGCTGAGACATAAGACTGAATTCCTAGACAAGGTATTGAAACGCTGAAAGAATCTATGTGACGACTGTTTAAAGGTGTGCCCCACTCAGATGCTGTCGATTTGGTCAAAGATCTTCAGCACAGTCAAAGGAGGATTACACTGACAATGGGTCAGTAACAATCGCACCCTGTTGCAAAGTATCTCTGAGAG